GGTGCCAAAGCTGAGAGGCTCCAAGAAAAGTGACCAGAATGGACATGTTTTTAGCCTCCTCCAAAAACAGGCAGTGCTGGCCACAAGTAAACCTGAATGATGCATAGACAAACAGCTATTGGATGATGATTATGAGCAGCATCAGATAAGTGTTCCAATCAATTTCAAACAAATACATGTCTTTAGATTCTGTCCCCAATGTCATGACTTTAACTGTTGAAAGAATACATTTTAGTAATTCTTTATTCTCATTTTCTATTATAATGTATTTCTTATATAAAGTTTGCTTTTTAAACTGTTCAATTGTCTTGTGATTGATTATCTGCCACAACTTAATTTGGGGAGTTGTTAAATTTCCCACACAACCCATAGGAAAAAAATTCTTTTATCTGAAGACATTTTTGAGCACTGAAATGTTATTTGAACAGTGAAATAAATGTTATAGTTAAATGTCTCCACTTGTTAGGTAAAAAACATTTTTCACTCATAGTTTTAATAAAAAAGTATGTTAACAACTAAAAAATGCAAAATGTCTAAAAAAATAAAATATCTATGTATTAATTATTATCAATATGCAATTGAGTTAAACGATTTGCACTTGGTAGCATAAAAAAATATTTATTAGGGACACTTCTTAAAATAAAATTGCTGTCAACTGCACTCTCCTTTTACTACTATGTCATTCCTTGCCGTTCCTTTTACTACAATGTCATCCCTTGTCATTCCTTTAACTACAATGTCATTCCTGGTCGTTCCTTTTACTACAATGTCATTCCTGGTCATTCCTTTTACTACAATGTCATTCCTGGTCGTTCCTTTTACTACAATGTCATTCCTGGTCGTTCCTTTTACTACAATGTCATTCCTGGTCGTTCCTTTTACTACAATGTCATTCCTTTTACTACAATGTCATTCCGGGTCATTCCTTTTACTACAATGTCATTCCTGGTTGTTTCTTTTACTACAATGTCATTCCTTTTACTACAATGTCATTCCTGGTCGTTCCTTTTACTACAATGTCATTCCTGGTCGTTCCTTTTACTACAATGTCATTCCTGGTTGTTTCTTTTACTACAATGTCATTCCTTTTACTACAATGTCATTCCGGTCATTCCTTTTACTTTTACTACAATGTCATTCCTTTGTTTTTTTACTACAATGTCATTTTTTACTACAATTCCCGGTCATTCCTTTTACTACAATGTCATTCCCTTGGTTGTTTCTTTTACTACAATGTTGTTCATTTTATTACAATGTCATTCCTGGTCATTCCTTTTACTACAATGTCATTCCTGGTTGTTCCTTTTACTACAATGTCATTCCTTTTACTAGAATGTCATTCCGGTCATTCTTTTTACTACAATGTCATTCCTGGTTGTTTCTTTTACTACAATGTTGTTCCTTTTACTAGAATGTCATTCCGGTCATTCCTTTTACTACAATTTGTTTCTTTTACCAATGTTGTTCATTTTACTACAATGTCATTCCTGGTCGTTCCTTTTACTACAATGTCATTCCTGGTTGTTTCTTTTACTACAATGTCATTCCTTTTACTACAATGTCATTCCGGGTCATTCCTTTTACTACAATGTCATTCCTGGTTGTTTCTTTTACTACAATGTTGTTCATTTTACTACAATGTCATTCCTGGTCGTTCCTTTTACTACAATGTCATTCCTTTCCTTTTACTACAATGTCATTCCTGGTTGTTTTTTTACTACAATGTGTTCCTTTTACTACAATGTCATTCATTCCTTTTACTACAATGTCATTCCTGTTTGTTTCTTTTACTACTTTTTCATTTTACTACAATGTCATTCCTTTTTTACTACAATGTCATTCCGGTTGTTTCTTTTACTACAATGTCATTCCTTTTACTACAATGTCATTCTCATTCCTTTTACTACAATGTCATTCCTGGTTGTTTCTTTTACTACAATGTTGTTCATTTTACTACAATGTCATTCCTGGGCGTTCCTTTTACTACAATGTCATTCCTGGTCGTTCCTTTTACTACAATGTCATTCCTGGTTGTTTTACTACAATGTTGTTCATTTTACTACAATGTCATAACAGTCAGTGTATGGGTTGTTTTTTCTATGCAATGTATTGTTTCCTTTAGTTGTGTCCCTGGGATGCACAAATGAGAAAGTTACTGAGTCCTTTAAGATTTTTATGTGTCAGGGTCTCAGGACACATACCTATCAATATCTTTAATGAGCTTTTTAATTTATGATTGGTAAATATAGTTTTTACTTAAAAAAAAAACAAAAAAACAATATCACCTAACATCTACAAATTAATACAGAATTTTAAAAGATTTAATAAAAGTTTTGAGCTTGATATCTAATGTTATATGAGGGGGAGGGGACTTTAAATGTTAAAAAGTAACTGAATTAATGTGAGCACCTTTTATATATAATTTTTAAGTACTCAGTAATCTTAAAAATTTAAGAAAATATTCTCCGTAATCTATTGTATTATTGAATTTAAATATTTTGGGCTGTAAATTTACTATAGTTAGCACTATTATTTTCTGGTAATGTCATTGTCTTGTATGGTGAACTGTAGAAAATCAGTATGTTTAGTTTTTATATATATATAAAATTCTTTAAAATATTTTGGCGTTTGATGTGTACTAAGCTTTTCATTCAATTTATGATTAGTAAAAGTTTTCAATTAATAATAAATTAATAGAGAAGTTTAAAAGATTAAAAAATAGTAAGACTCAATAAGTTCTAATTAAAATCTAAAAAAAAAAAAAAAAAATTAAAAAATTTTGTAAAAATTCATTATTCCTCGAAAATTCCCAACTCAATGTGTTTTTTTTTTTGTTTTACTGCAAAAATTAGGCAATAATTTGCAGTTCAACTTGAACTGCAAATTACCCAAAATTTCCTATTCTAATCTTTGCTGACGCAAGAAAAACAAGATTTTTTTAACCAATATTTTGAACGTGCTAGGAAAAAAATTAATAAAAATAATCAAAAAATACTTTGGTGTTTTCTCTTAACAAGCATTTTGATTTCTGAGAAAACTTTGTTTTTATCAAATTTGTGTCTTTTTTTTTTTTTTAATTACCGAACCATTGGACTTGGAAGTACGTACATTTAAAGCTCTACATAAATTATTTTCTTTTGAAATTTAATAAAATTAAATAAATGAAGGTGGGGTTGTATGTGTGTGCACCAAGATTTTATAAAAACTTTTCTAAAATAATTTCATTCATTTGTGAAAATAAGTTCCGAAAGTAAAGTTTCATTAAAATTCAGCAATTATCTAGTTTTTGCAAAAAAATCTTCCAAATCAATGTTTTTTATTGCAAAAAGGTCTTATTTCCCATATTAATTTTTTAATTCATTTTTTTTTTTTTTTTTTTTTAGCACGTTCGAAATTTGGGCTCAAAATCTTGTTTTGTTTATGTCAGCGATGAAATGAACGTAATTAATAATTACAATTCATTTTTTTGCGCTTTTTTCCGGTGAAAAAACATTGATTTTGAAATTACTGCAAAAATCAAATAATTGTCGGATAGTAATGAAACTTTCAGGACTTATTCAGAAATAAATGAAATTATTAAATTATTTTTGAAATTTTTTGTTTTAGAAATTCCTGGGAAAATTCCTTTTTATTTCCAGAATTTTTTTATTAGTTTTCTTTCTTTTTTTAAACCAACATTTTGAAAGGTTGTAAAAAAACAAAACAAAAATAATTTAATAAACAAAAAATGTTTTGGTCTTTCCTAGTCTTAATTAATAATAACAAAGATTTTGAAGACATTGTTTTTATTAAGTTTGGGGCATCTTTTCATGATGCATGCTCATTTTTTAACGAATATTTGGTGTTTGGTGGGGGTACCTAGGATGGAGGGTGTGTTGATAATTGTTGTGATAGAAAGACCTTTTGTTTTTTAATGAATGTCTCTGAAATTTTTACAACTATTGAAAAACAAAGTCACGTTTAAGTTTTTTAATTTCTAACACCTTTTTGGTCGATTGGAAAATGCAAAAAAAGATCGTAAAAAAAAAAAAAAAAAAAAAACGAAAACAAAAAATGAGTGAAAAATAAAAATGGATCACAAATAAAATGAAAATTTGTTCTTAAGTGTTTTTTTTAGCATTTTGTTTAAATGAAATGTGTATTTCTCGAGTTTTTCTTCGTTTGCTATTTCATTTGCTTGGATAATCAGATCATTAACTAATTAGATTGTTTTTAATTGTTCATCATTTTAAAATATCTTCAATGCTCGTTTAACAAAAAAAAAAAAAAAGAAGGAAAGAATACGCACCAGCATAAAGTGGACGTGCTTTCATTGAATTGGAAAGCATGGCCGTACCAACACCAACTGCAGTCATTGCTGCTTCTTCCATACTTAAATCTAAAACCCCTTTCATGACAGAAATTGTCAAGAAAGCACTAACTTTGATGAAATGAAAAGCCTACTTATCTAAATATATATTTCTCGGTTTTGGGTTCGACTCTATTTTGTCCTCCAACAACACAACGACCTCCAACCTAATCAAGCTGACAGCCTGGAGGTAACATTCATAACAAGACTTCATTCACCCGCAAAAATCAACTGATAAAATAATAAATAACTCTACCCGTTAAAAAATTCCATTAATTTGATTATTTAGCATTATAAAAAATATCAGGTGTAAAATGTATTTTTTGACGATTTTAATAGTAAAATCAATAAATGAATATACAAAAATAAATTTCTGTATATAAATAAACAAACTAAGTTTATAATTAAAAAAGTCCTATTTTTGTCCTTTTTATTTTTATTTTTATTTTTTTAAATATATTTCTCTGGGATCTATGTTTATATTAATCTCTCTATATTAAATATTTCTGTATTTTTTTCATTTTTATTTGGTAAACTTTTTCTGCGTCACTGACGAATTTCAGTTATTCGTGTTGTAAATATCATCGTTTAAAAAGTTACTTGACCGCTATATTGCCTTTATTAAACGCACATGTGTTGATTTGGTATAAAAATGTTTCAAGTCGATTCTCAACGACCTACTGTAACGATCGGTAAATATATTTTCCAATGTTATTTATATCATGTAATCATTATGTAATATTTAATATTGAATTATAAGTTGATCTTCTTAAGATATCATTGTAGAAACGTTCCTTGTGTTATTTTTTTTTTCACTTTCTTTTTTTTGAGATGGTTTTTTTTTTTACACCGTTTTTGCAACAGAAACATATTTGAATACTTAGTTTTTAATTTTAAATTAAAAGCCTCATCATGTTGATAAGCGGATGAATTGGTGTTGCAAATCTATGCTATTGAAACAAGAAATTACAATATAACAAAATACGTGATTTTAAATTTACATCCAGCTTTTAAACTCTCTACGCTACACGGTAACTTTGAAAAAACCGTAGGATAAAGAATTTTAGTCAAGTGAATTATACTTTTTAAAAATCAACAATGGGTGCTGCGGGTGTCTATGCGGAGAAACTGTGAGGATGGAAACAGCTGGGCGTGAACCTATCCATTCTAGATCTCAGGAAAGCATACCTGCAGGTTCACGTTGAGCAGGCCACTGTGTTACATGTGAAAACAGACTATATTTAGTCGTCCCCCACGAGGGCGTCAAAACAGCACAAAGGCCTTTTTAACGTGGGCATTTCCGAGCCATTAGGCAAAAAAATAGCTCAATTTGAACCCGTATAAACGGGTTCAGGGCAATTTACCTCCCAAGGAGACTCCGCCCTTCAGGCGTAGCCTCCTTTCCGGGTTCCTCCAAACAGACAGAGTTGAACAACCGTCGCTCTCAGAAAGTGAGCGACAGACTCCAAAACATGCAATGTGGTGGACTCCCACTGGTTGATCAATAACCTTACAGGCAAGTCTCGGCTGAACACCAAAGCTGCAAGCAAGATGCTCATAAGGTGGCGACTGGACATGTTGACCTCACTTGTGAAGGAATACAACCTTTCGGTTGATGTGGTGCTAGTAAAATCCGATCAGAACCGGGCGGACTTCTGACTAGAGTTCTAAAGAGATGGCTCAACAATGTGCAGAAGATTGAACCTATACATCCAGTCTGTGCTTTTGTCATGGATAACCTGAGCCCTGCACATCTGACTGAGATTCGTTGACACAGCAGGCACCCTGGAATTAAGCAGACATTATATTTCACACATAGGATTGGCTCATCTGTGATGAAAGTGACAGGTCGGTCGTTTGGAGTTGTGAGGATTGTCAGCCTGTAGACCCAGCACCAATGGCAGAAGGGAGGGCTGTGTGTGAGATATAGAACTAGCTAGGTATGGACATCACACACGACAATGATTGCCACTTTTTGACACTGATCGACTATGACTCAATGCAGTTTTTGATTTGGCAAGACATTGCACATAGATCTGGCAGTTGGAGTCTGTGTTTTGCGAATATGGCCCTGCAACTGGGCTCCTGACTGATAATGACACTGCCTTCAGCAGTCAGCAATTCAGACGGTTCCTGGATGAATGGGATGTCCGATTCTGACCACGCTGTGCATACAAACCATCTGGAAATGATATCGTAGAGAGGTGCGATTAGACAGTAAAATGGATTGCTGCGTGGGAGAGCTGCCCTATCATGAAGGCCATATATTGGTACAACGTCACACCTAAGGACAACATATCTGCCTTGTTTACACCTGCCATTCTGTTGCATTTGCACCAGATTCGGGTAAAAGGTATTGACATTGTGCCTCTGCCTGGCTACCAAGGGACGTTGGCCTGGTACAGAGAGAGGGACAGTCTGGGTGAAAAATCCACAGAGATGGTGTGTGCTGAAATTTAAACCAGGTTGTGTTACTGGGATAACCAGTCCACAGTCAGTGGTCATAGATGATACACCTTGGCATGTGGGAGATGTGCATCCATGGCACAGTTCGGAGATGCCATTGGATGATTGTGATGATGCATCGTCAAAGATTAATGAATGGTGAAAACCAGGCTCGAGAGTGATGGGACCGACCTTTATTGAGACCCCCCACCAATCTGCGGCTTCTAATCAGATCCCAACATGTCTGTTGATTCAGCCAGGGAGGAAGAAGTTCTTGTCCCACTGTGAAGGAATGCTAGGGTGAAACAACTAGCCCCCGACTGTCACATGTTTGATTATATGGTCGGTTGGAGTGTAACGATGAATATTTACACTTACCTGATCCAAAGTGACCGAGGTGTCTGGCCTGTCAAAGGTGCAATGTGTGATATTGAGCCTTTTTATGAATGTTGGTCATTTGCATATGAGGATGACAACCCGCTTTAAAAGGCTGGGTAAAGGGGCAGAGAAACAAATTGGAAGTGTAAGCAAACAGACGTGGGATTTTTTTTTTTTTGTAAAGACTGTACCTATTCATTAATACAACTACAGAAACTAAATAACAGTAGAGGTGGGTGTGAATTTCTCTGAAGATAATTTGATTTTCTTTTTCTATAGACTGTGTTACATAATTTCCTGTTTTTAATTTGTTTTTAGCAAGTGTGGGGAAAAATGCAATAACTGTAAATGCCCCCTTTACTCAAAAATCTATTTCATAAATTATTGAATCAGCAATTTTATTTTAGTTGTTTGATCACATTATACAAAAATCCCTTGTCATTTGACTGTTATTTGAGTTTTTAAGAATAACAGAAAAGACAACATTGTAGAAAATTCCTGTAGCCCTAAATATAAAAAAAATATTCTAATAGCATGACTGAAAGAAAGAAATAGTAAGAGAGATGTTGACTTTAAAAATAATTGAAGATCATATGTGTAAATATTTTAGTGAGGCATTTGATTATCTTCAATTAATTTGTAGTTATTTGTAAAAAGTGATTATGTTTGGAATTATTATGAATGTCTAGTTAATTCTTGAATATTTTTGATAAATTTTATTTTACAGCTGCCTTTACTCATGGCACCTTTAACTCAAAAAAGAAGAAAAAAATAAAATTTAACAGCTTCACGCAAGATGATGACAAGAAAAAGAAAAGATTCTTGGTGAGTTGGTAAATATAAAATCTACTCAGGTTGTGTTGATGCCAATTCTTTCTTCTGCTTGATTCTTTTTCTTTTTTTTTTTTTTTTGCTTTTCTATTGAAATGTTTTGAATGAATCTTTTTATAAATTGATTCTTTAATGACCAAAAATAGATTGAAGACTGGTTGCTAAAAAACCAGCAAAAATTAGAAATTTAATTAAAGAATGTGTATTGATGCTAATATTAATAGTTGTTCTTGTTTGGGTTTGTCTTGGAATTTCAAACAAGACTTACTATTACTATAGTGCCAACATTGCTATGAAGAATGAAGTCAGTGTCAGAAAATTATGAATGAAAATTCCAGCCTTATTGTGACTGTTCTGGTAGCCTAAATGATGAATGGTATGCTTTAATGATTGAGAATGATTGTGATGTAAGCTTGAGTTTTATTTATAGTTTCTTTGTTGCAAATTTCTGCATTTTAACAAGATGAACAATCTCATAAAGATAAATAAAGAACTGATGTGCATCAAAGAAAATTCTTTATCTCGCTATCTTTTATCAACTATTTGGTGTAGAAGTTAGGCTGACTTAATAAATAAAGAATGACTTGATGGTTTTGCTTTTGCAGGATACTTCTGATTTAATAAGTTGCACATAAATTATGTTGGAGAATAAACCATCTTTATTGCACGTATCAAGATGGTTGGTAGTTGGTTGGCTTAAAAATTTGGTTTATTAAGTAAAACTAAAACTTTTGCTTATCTTCTGCTATCTTCCAGATAACTTCATAATTCCATCCTGACAGAGCTTTATATATTTCTGAATAAAGTGCTGTTCTAGATGTCTTTTGTTGCCTTCCATAGAATTTTTTTCTTTCAATAAAAGATACTGCACACATTAAAATAAATCAATGATTCCCAACATGGGGTACATGCCCCACCAGTGGAGCATAATAATATTTTGGTGGTGCATGCGTAGGATGTGCACCCTTTGGCTTACTATACCAACAGAATAAGGGGACAATTCAGGAATGAGTTATTAACAGTGAATTGTTTTTGAATGTGCTCAAATTTCATTTTGCATTTTTATTTCATAATTAAAATCATCAAATTGTATTACAGAATAAACTTTCATTCAAATATTTTATATTTCTGCTTTTCATTTCTCTATTATATATTTTGAAACTATATATATTTAACTGTCTTTTTGTTTTTTTTAAATTTTTCTCTTTCATCAACGCCATGGTCTTTGGAGGCTTGTTTAGAGACCAGTTAATGGCCTTTTAAGCTTCCTTTACATGAATTGCAGTAAAATTTTGAATGTGTAAGAATTAAATATTACGGGGAGGCACCACAATTTTAGTAATACCAAAGTGGGGCGTGACCCAAATTCAGTTGGGAACCACTGGAATAAATGTTAATCTGAATGCTGAATCTCTGGTAAATATGTCAGACAAGTATAATTTTCCCAACCAAACTAACAATTTTTGTCTGGCTTTTTTCTCTTCCATTTTAGAATCAATAAACAAAAGTATAGCAGTTTTATTAAACGTCTTCAAAATGTGCAGTAATATAACATTTGCCACATGACCATGAAAAGCATTTTTTCAGTGAAGCTAAACATTCCTCATGCCATGGTAAAAACAGAAACTCTTTGACCAATGGAACTTTGAATAAAAAAAACAAAAGTTTTGAAAGTTATTAGTTGCAAATAAAAATAGTAAAAATCTTGTACTTTATCACAGAATTATTGATATAAAACAGAATTCCTAATATCTTTGTAATTTCATATTTGTAAATCCAAAACATGTTACAGAATGAAACAATTTGGCCAGTAAAAGTAGAATTTGTTTAGTGTTATAAGAAATTGTGACACAAAAGATGAAATTGCTGAGCTAAGATGTTGAATGGCTTTTCATGCAGCATGTGTTTATTTTGGGGAAGGCATGAACTTACACATCCCAAGACCCTGTGTCTTCCAAAGATTTTTGTCTTTAGCATGTCATGATAGCTGACAGAGGAATGCCGTCAAATAACAAGGATTCTTCCCATTTATGTCATGTTATTTGGAGACAAGATAGACACTTCCAGATAGCGTCCATAATTCTGCAGATATCATAAATCCAGTATGGCACACAGTTATCTCCCTTGGTCATAGAAGGGAACCAAATGTTTGAATTTTAAGCCATTTTTTCCTGTATTTGTTGGTGCAGCATAGGTTTTTTTTTGTTCTATTCATATTTTAAAAATGGCATGATTTGAAAATATTTTAGATTTATGTATGTCAATATTTATCTTCCTATTCTTGCCAGCTAAATATCTGATCCCAAAATTATTTTGATATATACTTGTATTTTTTTAAAATCTGAAGGTGTTCTTTGTCCAACTCAAAACAAGTTATGCTGAAGATTAATGTGAAAAAAGAACAACATTGAAATATTTACAAAATCATTATATTATGCTTTTTTCTTTTTTTTTTTTTTTTTGACTCGTATGTTTATAAATCATTTTGATTGATTAGTTTTTCAGCCTTCATCAAATTCACATATTAAAACATTTTTTAATGTTTTTTGTTTCACATAATTTCAACTTTTTGTTTTGTATATTTAACTCTTAGGGTAAATGGCTCAAATTACTAAACACAAAACTGCATATGCTTTTTTTTTTTCTGTGAGAGGGAATAAAAGAAAAAGAACATTTTTCTTTTTTAATTATATTTGCAGTGATTATTAAATCTTTAATGGAATATTATTATTATTTTATTTTCAGGTAGCCCGGACTGATACGTGTTGTTATGTTGGAAATAATTTTCAGGACATGTTTAGAGCTTCAAAAATGTGCAGGTGAATTTTTAAACTCTTTTTCTATCAGTATTGTCATTGATTTATTACCAATAACTTGAAATATCATTGCATATTTGTAAAAATAAATCTGAAATTATTTAAAATGTTATTAACTCCCTCATTACTGTAGATGTACTTATACATCTTACAAAACTCAGTTACCTGCTGTTTATATTATATATGATTATTTTCAAGACATCATGTAATATTGATTCCTTGTGTTTGATCTTATGGCAACATCATACTGGAACATTGGTTCCTGTATGATCCTTCAAAGTGTTGAGCTTGGTCAGTATTTAGATGGGTGACTGCTTGGGAATACTAGGTGCTGTAAACTTGGATGTGCAGGCAGTGTAAGGGATAATGACTCAATTGTTAATTGGAGAGCCATGTTCCAATTTCAGTTGGGTTCATCATATTCATTTACTCACTAATACCCTTAAGAAAAGTATGAATTAATGAAAAGTAAGAAATAAGCTACAAAAAATCAGTTTGTTTAATTCTAATGAAGACGCCTCTAAATATTTGACAGTGTATTTACAGGCATTGTATCTATGGTAATTTAGGATTGTAATGTAAGTTTTTGCATTTATTTGATATATTAAGAGATCTGAATGTATGGTTATATTGGAAATAGGGCATGAAAAAGTTATGAGCCACTAGAAGACAAATACCTTTTTGATTTATATCAAAAGTTATAATCAGTATTAAGTATTTAGACTTGTATGTCTCCTCATCTTTGTCAATTTCAATGTGACAACTTTTACACTTGTCTTGACTGTACATTGGTACATTATCAAAGCCTAACAGATTTTTAATAAAAAGAAAACTATTTTTTTTTCTTTTTTTGTTTGTGACTCATTTCTTTTGTTTGCCAATGTTGAAAAAAGTTCACTTCATGTGAGTAACAAAAAAAATTTCCTCAGTAAAAAGCATTTTTACCATTTTGAAAGATTGAATATTTAATTTGATTAAAAACCAGCATCTTTTCTTTCATTTTTTTTTTTTCTTTTTTTGGAACCAGTTATTATGTTGGAGTATTGAATAAATCTACTGGAAAGATGCAAATCTGTGATGCGGATCTTGTCCATCTGAATCCAAATTTTCCAAGTGAGAATAAGAATTCTTTTTTTATTTCTTGCTCTTTAGAAAAAATCATTATTGGTTAACTTGTAAGTCAGTCATTCACTTAATCTCTTTTGAATGTAGTTTTGTTGCATCAGTATTATTGGTTAAAACATTTGACAAGCAAAAGGTTTCACAAAACTCTGAGTTAAGATTAATTTTCTTTTAAGAATGTAGAGTTATAAATATAAAAAAAAATCCAAGCACACTAAAATATAATCCAGTGCATCCAAAGGACAAGTGTGTTTCTTTTACAAAGTTAATTATCTTATTGTGCAATATTTTTTAAAGATAAGGAAATAAAATTTCTTGTGAAAATTTTAGTGACCCTTGAGATATATATATTATAATTATTTTCTATTTCAAAAATATGGTTCTATCGCTACACAGGAATTACATTTAAAACATGTCAATTCCTGTGTAGCAATGGAACCATATATTTTTAAAATAGAAAATAATTATAATATTATGCTCTACTGTTTTGTATTGAGCACTGTTTTTTTAAAATAAAAATAATTACTAAGAACACTGGGTTGTAAATGTTACTGTTCTTTCTTATTATTTTTATATATATTCTGAGGGATGACTATGTTGTCATTACAGGCTGTTTCAAATATAACACAATGTCTTCCAAAAAAGTTGAAATAACATTACAATAGTCATGGAATTAAATGAACCATTATATCTTTTTAATGACCTCAAATCTTTAACTGTCTCATCTGTGTTATCAAGATTTTAATTTAAGTATCTTGCATGTCTTAGTATGAAACACATTGTCATCAGTAAATTTAGTGATTTAATGGTCAGTACTTTATAATTTTCATTATCATAATCATCTATCTCTTCACAATTCATCTCTACTCATCTGCGTGGTTTGTTTTGATTGCAATACAAGATGTGATCCCACAAATATTTCTTAGACTTTCTTTGGGTTTGTAATACCATAGGATGTTAGTTATATTTCATTAATAATATTTTGTATTCTACTTTTTAACACATGATTATTTTTTTGTTATGTTTAATGCAGTAGGGAGTATTGGGTAAATATTTTGACAAGGAAATGTAAATTTGGAGATTCACATGAACAGGATAAAATTTAAATTTTTGGCAATTTTCAATTTATTTTTTGTGAGACTAACAATCAGTTACTGATAAAGATGCAAATTTAAAAAAGTGTTTTTCATTGTTAGTTGGGATAAGGAAAAAAATAACATGATTTTAATATCAAAAAGATATCAAAATTAAAAGGAATTATGTTTATTATTTATTTATTTATAAAATTTGTCTAGATCCTGAAATAGTGAGGTAAAAAGGATGTCTGGAGAAACTTGTTCATTGTGTTGGACCTGCAACTAAGTGGATCACTTCGGAGAGGTTTTCTCCCATAGAATGATTATGTTTACATAAATATTGTTGCATTAAATATTTCTGGGCCAAATTTGAATCAAAGGGCGTAATAGGGCCAAAAGTATAAAACGTCTAATAGAAGTAACAGAAAATAGTTTTATGTGGATATGGAAAAAATGAAATGCTCTGTGGAGTGTTTCAGCAAACATGACGGCATGACATGACTGATCGTGAATGCGTAATGAGGTTCACGTTGCATTCTCAGAACGCGGGGTTTGCCGTTTTTCGGAACTTTCATAAGTTTAATTTCGCCGTTATACATTCGAACTAGTTTATCTACAACGCTTGTATATCGTTATAATGGGGCCTCACATCAGTGAGTGGGGGGCGGTGTGCAACTGAAACCATTGAGCGGAAGGCCCTGAAACGGTGCACATTCTCTCCTGATGACCCCAGTTTAAAATTCGAGAGGAACACATCAAATTCAGTAAAGTCATATGCCGTAGTGAAGCTCGGTGGAAGTGTCATTGGCATGAGGAGCATTACACATTCAGCTCGCTTCAGGTGAGTTTCAATTACTTTCCAGTAATTTCCTTTTTCTTGTATATGTAAATGTTATTATTTATCTATTTTCAGAAGTTGAACATAAAAGAGAAGAAAATTCTAATCTTTCAAAATTTGATAGAGTAAGTATTTCTTGCCTAAACGTTTTGCTATCATTTTTAAATCACAAACTTGTCTGAATTTCTAATGCTACTAAGATTGGTGTTTGAATGAAAATTTACATCCCGTAAACTGTTCAAATGTACTGTGGCCATAGCAGCAGCCAGTATCTAGAAATGGTAGGAAATGTGCATGGTTTTAGAATTGTAAAGCAAACATTCCTGCAGATAAACAATCTGACAGTCAATCTAATTTCATGTTGCAAATAAAATGCTTGCTTATGTAAGGTTGAGTGAAGCTGCATATCTGATTCTGGCATAAGCAAACCAATTATAACATTTAAAGTGTGTACTTGTGTGCAACAGAATAAAATAATATTGATGATTAGTAGTTTCCATAACTGAAAAATGACATTGTCATTGCTTTCTATAAATGAATAGGAAAAGTTAACCAATGGGTTGATGTGTTGATTGATTTCTTCTGTTTGTGGGAATCTTTGATAGCCAAATATTAAAACAATCTTTTAAATATAGAAACCCAATTATAAAAACTATACAACTTTGGAAGGTTGGAAGATAAATTGGTCAAAACTTTGTGATTAAAAGCAGCAAGGATAAGTTTACTAGTATTAGTTTACTTCTTTTAGAATTTCAAACAATATTTGTTGGGTAGAATATTTCTAGCAAAGAAATATACAATTATGTTAGTGTTTTGAATTTAGATACTACTACTTGGTCATTAGTTTCCACAAGATGACACTGAAGTTAAGCAATACTGAGCATGGTCAATATAGATAGGTAAGCAGTTCGGAATAGCAGGTAGTAAACAGCTAGCATGTCAAACTAAATAAAACCTAATAAATGTGAATGGAATCCTTCATTATCAACATTGTCTCCTTTCTCATTCCATGTGTGTTATATTCCATGCTAATAGAAATATATACTTTAAAAAATGCAGTGGATAAAATAAGTAAAGGTTTATTGTAAAAACCTATACAATAAGAATAAAGGTAACAGTTATGCACAAGGTTGTTGCAAGTCAATCTAGTAGTGATTGGAAGGTCAGTAGTTCTCACGTAAGTCTGAGTTGTACTCAACAGATCCCAGCTAGTATATTTAGCACCCCCCCACACGAGGGTTGCATGTAGCACAAGGCCAGTTTAATGTGGGTTCTCCAAGCCCATAAGCTCGGCCAAAAATATTCCCTTTCGAATCCGTATAAACGGGTTCAGGGGCAGTCTACCTCCCCGAATGAGACTCTGCCCTTTGGCGGAGCCTCGTCCGGGTTCCTCTCTGCCCAAAGGCAGAGAGTTCAACTGTTTAGCTGGAACAGATCCCAGCTAGACTCTAGTCTGTTGACTTACAGATACTTATAGGTAGCTACTACTTATAGTGTGATATGGGGGTGACAGGTTATTCTATTACATCAATATGTTAAAGTTGAGAGGTCAGGAAGCCACTAGTTACTTCATAAATAATCAGCACTCAAATATTCACTACCAACAATACAAAATTGGCTAGGTCTACATTGTCTCCATTCAATAAAACATTTATTCTTTAACAAAGCAAAAAGGTCTCATTGGATTTTGCTTCTGTCGAACTCAACAAGTAATGTGTTCTTTTCTAGTGATTGAAATTAAAGTTTGGGATATTTTTTTTTTTTTTTTTTTTTTTTGATTGAATAGATTTTGAACTTAGGTACCTCCATAAATCGCTAAAAAAGAGCATAGCTTGAAAAAAGATCCTTGCTAGAAACAAAATTTTATTGTCTAAATGCTTATGTTATTATTTAGAGAAAGACTTTTTTTTTAATTATTTTTAAAAATTTTCCTTCTTTTAGAAAATTCTAAATTTTGATTAAAAAAACCTTGGTATCAAATGGAACTAGTAAATAACATAGACAATTTTTATACGTTTTTTGGTATGACACACATTAATTTGAAAAATCGTGCAAAAATAGAAATAATTATCGGATGTTAATGAAACTTTCAGGAACTATTCACAGATGATCGAAATTATTATAAATATGTTTTTTTTTATTTTTAAACAATGGTAGAAATTTTTAAACAATATTTAATATGTTTTAAAAACTCTAGAAATTGCAGAGTGATTACAATTAAAAGAACAGGGCAGAATGCAAATTGTTTTTTTTTTTGTTTTTAATTGATACCCAGTACCTGAAAAATCAGCTCTGAATTGTAAAATATACAAACTCAATAAAACAAATATATTATTTAATTTCAAATGATTTGCTTTTAGTTGTTTTTATGAATATGGACAATATTTTCTGAAAGCAAAAAATTTTTTTCGATGAAAAAATTAATTTTTTAATACTTATTTGTTATTTCATTAATTATAATAGATTTTACATTTTGTTAAAATATTATAAAATTAATTAAAATAATCAGATAGATCTTTTTTAGCGCTTGTAAAATCATTTTGACTAATCAGAAGATCCCCAGTAATTAAGAAATGTAATTTTGTGCAATCGAGCTGTAATTATAAAATTGGAAGACTAGGAATATAATTAAGTTGCATTGTTCTCCATTCAATTTAAAACATTTTATTTGATTTTTCAATTTCAACTGAGAAGGTTACAAAAAGGTCATCTAATGAAATTTTATGATCTTATTTTTTATATTAATCTCAGTTACGACATTTTTTTCCATAAATGAAATATCAAAATTAATAATAAAATGAATGCAAATCAAATAACAAGTAATGTGTTTATAGTTTTTAGTGATTGAAATTAAAATTAATTAGGAAATATTTTTTTTTTTTTTTTTTTTTTTTTTATTTCCATAAAAGCATCATAAACGTAAAGGTGAAAGTACATTGACCGCTGAAAGTTTTTAAATAATTTGTTCACGAAATGTAAATTATTTCTTTTCTCCTTCAAAAAACATCTTCATCAAAGAATTTTATGATGGTTTTATTTTCAAATTACAAAAGTTTGGTTCAAAATTTTAAATAAACATTATAATTACTGAATTTCTTATAAGTTTTGAAAAAATGATAATTGATATTTTAAAAAATTTCAAAGTCAGAATTAAAATGGAACATACCTTGTCCTCATTTGAAATTCCTGGAGAGTTACTGCATGATATACACAAATACTTGAGTATAATAAACATTTAGAAAACGATTGAAACATTAGTCTTTTTCAAAAAGAAAATCATTCAAAAGAATCATTGAATGTTTCTCTCTCTTTGATGGTTACAAGTTTTTTTCTGAAACAAATTTTTTTTGACAGACCAATTGAAACTTGATTGAAACATTTGGTGAATGTTCTGAGAAATTTTCTTAAACAAATTTTTTTTCTTGACAGACCAATCGTAATATTGTTGAAGGAGAAGTTCTAAAGGAAGCCATTGATGGAGCTTTGAAAGATACTGTGCTGCCAGAACATCATGGCCTTATTGGTAAGTAAATAGGTTACTTTGATGATTTTAATGTGATGTTGGTGTTTTCCATTATGTAATCAAATGATGTGATTTCTTTTTCTTCTTCTTCATCACTAAACTCTAAAAGGAGTTGATAATGACTGATTAGTTTTACAATTTTCAACTATTCAAGTGAATTCTCAAGGCAAGAATTTTAAATCAGAATTAATTTTGTAACAATATTTAGCATGACCAAACGGAAGAAATTGCATTAGTTTATACTATTGATTATTAAAGACCAAACGGAAGAAAATTATATCAGGTGATGTTCTATTCTGTTTCCAATATGAACAGAGAAAAAAAAAAAAGACAATATTTTTTTTTTTAATGAGGTAAAATTATCACAAGAGTCATGATATTCTCAAAGTAAAACAGTCATATCGGATGAGGTTGTGGGGATCAATCAACTGTTGATGACAGCTATGAAACAGGACTGTTTAATCAAGGAGAAAGCATTTTCCAGCTGTGGATTGTAAATCAAAAAAATGTGTCAACACAGAACAATGGATGCCCTCTGACCCCCAACAGAATGAGTTGGAAGTGAATTTTGTTAACAGGATTTAAACAGGCAGGTGGTTTGGAGGTTCTAAATTTGAACAAAGCCAAAACGCATTTATAAGTGTGTCATAAGGAAATTGCTTATTCGGTTATCTATGGCAGGTTCAAAGGTTATACTAATTGGTGAAATATGAAAAAAAAGAAAAACTGAATTTTCCTGGGAAACTAATTTGGTATTTTGGAAAGAAAGAAAGGGCCAAGAAAAGGAGTGATGTCATGAAGACGACACTATCCCATTGGCTGTGTCATGAGGAAAAAGATGAAAAGAATGATGTCATAGAAATAATGCTATCTCATTGGCTGTCACGAGGGAAGACGACAGAAAGAAATGAAGCTGTAATTTCATTGGCTAACAAGGGTCTGAGATGAGGTTTGACACCCCATTGACCGTCGTCCTCATCCCAGTAAAGAATGGACAAGCATAAATACAGAGCCCCAAGGGGGTAACAACCAGTGAAGTGCAGTTGCAGTTAGCCGAGGAGTGAGGCTTGAAGTAACAACACTGCCGCCCGCCAACCTCCGCAACAATCAGAGACAGTCTTCGTCAGTTTCTGTGAGGCTCCGGTGTGAAGAAAAACAAAGATACTTAGAATTAACGCCAACCAAGAACTCCGACCGGAGTGAAGAAATAACGCCGACCAGAAAACTTGAAAATCATCCCTTAAAGAAATTAGTTGAGACATCCGTTCCGTGGTCAGCTTGTTAGGAACAGGGCTTGGGAAGAAGACAATTGGTGATTGTACTCTGAATTCTTCTGTATATAAAGACTTTCTTTTCTACAACTTACTCAGACGTTGTTCTGTTTATATTTGGTGCCGTTTCATTTTCCCAAAAATTGTCTGGATTGGTTCGACTTGGCGGAGAGACACCTAGCGAAAACCCACGTGGCTTCCTTGAGATCAAATTCACAGTGTGGGCAAGGGAGTTCACTGTGGGTGGTGTCCACTCAGAGACCGGCTTCTAGCTACCTGCCTTGTCGCTGTCGACGAAGAATTCGTTCCGGGATGAGGAACCTTCATAGTCTGGTTCCCGGAAGGCCGATCCTGTGGGGCGGTCACAATTTGATCATTGAAGAAACTTCAGTAGATGGTGTAATAACTTTCCTAAGTTTTTATTATAGTTAAAAGTTTATGTGAATTACTTCAGAGATTAGTATCTTCACTCTACTTTCTAAAATTTTCCTCATGTATAACTTTATTATATTATATGAACCCAGATCATTTAGTCAAGGAATGAAAGAATGATAATGTCAGTTTGTTAGTGATTCTTGTACCTTAAGTTTGAAAATCTATATCCTTTTTATTTAAAACTAAACTGAATAGTCTTTTTTTTTTTTTTTTTTTTTTAAAATATCTATCTATAAGAGTTTACTTTTCCTTGTGACAGACTTGTCTATTGAACTTTTTGGGGAAAATGAGTACTTTTTCTGTAAAGTAAGAAATAAAATAATTCAGTATTTTAGTAGGAAAAAAATCAGTTTCAGATCTTTAATTTATAAATTATTATTTTCAGAAAGTCATTTTTTCTTTTCTTTCTTTCTATTCACCTCAAGAAAAACTGAATTCGCACATCGGCTTTATTTCATCTCTTGAAAAAGAAATAATAATAAAAAAAGGCTTTTAGTAAGGGAGACAACTCCTTATTCATTTATGAATTGAGCTGGTTTTTTCTCTACACTGGGAATTTTTGTATTTCTTTATAAAAATTCCAGGTTTTCACGACAGAAAAATTTTTTTTTTATTTTTCTGAACATTTATTTCAGACACCTGGAAAAAAAGGGACGTGTCTGTAGTACCTGAATTGCTTCCTGTTTGTAATGTCCGAGCAACTTCTGTGGATGATGTCTACAAGTTAGAGAATAGTAAGTATAATAGTAAGAAATTCATTGTATATTTTGCAAACTGAATTAGAATTTTATCTCTTGATTGTTTTTTTTTGTTTTTTTTTATCTTTCCCCCAAACTAAAGGCAAACATTTGTGACAGTTTTAATTTTTCATCATGTATTAACTTTTGGACATGATATCAAGCATTGGTAGAAGCAGTGACCTGAACTTGACAGCCCTGTTGGAAATTGTGGCAAAAGATGGATAGAGAAAACTTGGTGTTACAAAAAATTGAAGTTAAAAGACTTTTGCCTCTGGATATGGAGAAGTACAGTGAAGAGGATGTTGGAAAACGCCCAACTGTTGTATTAAGGAAAGAAGACTGTAAACCAGATAATGATCAATGCAGATTAACATAATGATTACTTGGATGTATAGATAGTGTAATGAGAAATTGGAAATCTGAGTTTGAATTTGAGTCGAGTTTGTTACATATATATATATATATATATATATATATATATATATATATGATGAGAGAGAGAAAATTAACATCATGAAATAGTTTTTTTTTTTTTTTTTTTTTTTCTCACTTAACTGAGCAGTATTTCTGTCATGCTGAATTTGGAGTTTTGTGGCTACATAGATGTGTGACTACTCAAGATTCCAAAGTCAGCATGATAGAAATACTGCTCAGTTAAGTGAAGAAAAAAAACTATTTAATGTTAATTCTATTAATTCTCTATTTCTATCTCTGATGTTGAGCACTCTACCACAAAGCCTGCTTGCCTTAAATACCTTTCTATCAGTAAACGACTGAAAAATCAGCAATTTTGGATTCAAAAACATTCCCTCAGACTCACACACACACACACACACACACACACACACACATAGCTATAAAACATTTCCTGATTTGTTAATATCGTTTTTGTATCTGTCAATATTATGCTTTTGGAATGTTTTTTAATATTTAGAGTACATAATGAAGGATGAAATATTTAATATGTATCATATGTAATGAATGATAGGAGGCATAGTGGAGTAATGGACAGCAGCTTGGATTGAGAAATCTGAGAGCCGAGTTTGAATTCCAGTCAGATCCATTACAATCACTTACATGTTAATACCCTTGGGAAAGGTATGGATCCTCTCCTTCCCCCAGCTATGGGTAAATAGCAGGACAGACCGGGTTCTATAGCCTTGGATGGCAACTGGTCTATTGCAGAAAGAAATGGCAACCCACTGCGGGGAAAAATCTACTTTGTCAATCATGTATCGAAATATACATATTTGCCTAAGTGTGTATCATGCTTAGCACATAACTGACTGACTGAATGAATGAATGAATGATAAAGAATTTAAACAAATCCTTTTTTCTTTTTTTCAGTTATTAGCCCATCTGATATGGAAAATTTAACAAAATATTCTCAAGAAATTTTTAATGTAAAATCAGACGATATGGCTGACATAGTTAGACAAGAGAAGTAAGTCATTATATTTCTAAATTATTATATTTCTTTCTTAAATATACAATATTTTTATAGAATCTGTAAATTTAATGCTCATAACCTTGATGTGTATTTCATTAATGTCCTTTTTTTTTTTTTTTTTTTTTTTTTTAAATAATGGACTTCTCACTGTCTATTGTCATTGAAATGTCAACTATTAATCATTTGTATGGAAGCCATACTTTGGGTTGACTCAAGCTTTGTGAGTTAAATTGGGTAGATAGAAATATTTGGAAGCTGTTGGTGGTTGTGCTAGCATGAAATAACAAGTCATCATGGCTGAGAGTTTTGAGCATGCTGGCTTTGTTCTGATTATTGATCATACCAGTTTCTCTCAGAAACTGTAATGTAGTTACAGTATAAACCACAGTTGGGCTCTGTGGGTGTTGAACAAACAAATGTCCCTGAGTGCGCATCTGTAACAGGGATTGGCTAGCCATCTTAGTAGACAGGTATACTTGGCTATGGGCAGCCAGCCACTATATAATCATGTATGTATGGTTAAGTATTTAAAACAATTTTTTCAAAAGCTACACTTTTATTTCTTTGTAATTAATTGGGTTGGATTTCACCATAATGTTATTGCAATTATTTCAAGAAATTCAAATTTTGAAGCTTAAATCTAATTTTTTATTTATTTTTACTTTTAAAAGGATAAGCATGAAAAAAAAAAAAACTTTTTTCTTAAATTCAAAACTTATATTTTGAATAATATATATGAAAATTTATAGAATTTGTGGAAATTCCACTGTTTATTTTTATAATTTAGAAAGAGCAGAGTAATTTAAAAAATAATCAAGTGATTTTAAAAATATCAGTTTTGAAAGTCACCTAGATATTTACAGGTTTTTATAAGATTAATAAAAAATAACCTTAATTTTCTTTGTAAAATAAGATAATTTTTTATAAAAAATCCTCTTCTGCCATGATGCCTTTTTAAGACAGAAAACTTTTTTTTCATAATAAACTGTTTGGAAAATGAAAGTTGTAAATTGCTAAATACTGATAATAATGTGTATATTTTAATCTTGTTATGTTTAACATGAGGTCTTATTTAGAATCAATGAATGCTATAGATGATTTTTCCATTACGGTAGGATTAATAATGGATCTTTGGGTAGTAAGTTAACTAGTAATGTTGTTTTCTATAAAATATAATATTTTGTTAGCATGATTTATTGATTTCATTAAAAAACAAAATCCATCTCTCTGTGGCATATCATAAATTAATTTCTACAAGGCTAAGTCTATTCACAAGACCAACTTATAGAGATAAAGCACATCTTGGAACCTTACAAATTGTAAGAAATTTTTTTTTTTTTTTTTTTTTTTTTTTTTTGAGTGATTAAAGTGTTAATGTGGATAAGAAGTTTTACATGATTTAAACAATGTGTTGCTTATTTACTTGTAGGTATTGTCAATTTGTATTGGATCATCTGCTAAAATTACCTGAAGACTCGATAGAAAGACAGAAGATGGCAAACTGCTTGTTGTATTTCCAGTATTTGGTGACATTGTATCATATGAAAAATGCTGAATTGAATACAAATCGTAATGTGTTTATTTTTATTGGTTTTTTATTTTCATTATCTTTTGTAGATAAATGACAAGAATTTAAATTGCATTAGTTGAAATCTTGAATTCAGATCTTTGCTTAAGTTATTTCTTCTTCAGACTTGCTGTAATTGATAAACACAGCCCAAAATAAGGAAAACATTTTGTCTTGTATGGCATAGTAATGAGGATTTAGCCATGAAAGAAAGAGTGTAGATAAATTAGTTAAACTGTAATAAAAGCATCTTTTGATGATGGACATGTTTACCTCTTAGTAGCAATAAAACTTGATATCTTTTGCTTTGACTAAATTCCCTTACCCTTTTTACTATGTTAGGAGGTCATTGTCCATCTTTCTTGAATATTTACTTTGTGATTTAAGGTAACTTTCTCTCACTATTTCTCATACACAAGCACATTGGGTGTTTGCCGTGGAGAAATACTGCAGAACATTATAGAGATTCTATATTTTATTCTCATTGGGTCTCACACTAAACTAACCTTAATAAATATCCTATATAAAGTGTTGAGTTTAGCTTTTTTGGATACAAGGCCATCATTATGGGGTACCTAGTAAGGATCTAATAGAAGCAAGAAAGAAAACATTTGAAGGAATAAGTGTTTATTTCATGCAGTTTTAAGGTCAGTTCCTGGATGCCAATTTTTTGAATTCCTGATTAAGAAAAAATGGTTTCAAATTAGGCAATATGATTGGTGGGGGTATTTATTAATGAAGAAATATTTGAATTCTTACTGTAGGCTTAACACAATGTCATAATTATATTTTTCTTAATGGTGAGGAATTTGCAGCAAGAATAAATCTCCTTAAATTGGAACAGCATAACTGATCACTTGAGCAGGAAAAAAACACTTATTAAAATCAGTCAATGTATTTTATAAATCTGGCAGTTTTCATTATGAAAAATGGAATTGTAAACAAAACAAAAAATTTATGAAAGCTTTTAAGAAAGGCATTAATTCTCTTTTTCCTGTGCTTGATCCACTTGATAAAAGTCTCATTACTGGCATACCACAATTGCTGGAGATTAGTACACAGACAAAAGTAAGAAAATAAAAGCTGAAAAAATATTTTCTATTTTCCATTAACCTTTTGACCAGAAGCATGGGAAAATTAATGCAATGTTTTTTTTTTTTTTAATTTTTTTTAATATTTTGAAAATGAATCTCTAGTATTTTCCTCTTCTAGGTGAAAAATAATTACAAGTTGGATTTTTTTTTTTTTTTTTTTTGAAAAACTGATCAATTTAAGTGTACTTGTCATTTACATTGAACCAATTTTTTAAAGCTTTCAGCCCTTTGGAAGAAATTGTTCACTTTTGGTCCTTAAGTATGTATAATTTAAAAATCTTCTGTCATTATTTACACTATTTCTGTTCGGTCTATTATCCTCAATCTTTGTTGTTTTTATCACAAGTTTTCAGCTGCTGTGCCCTCTGACTTAGGTGTATAATTGATCTGGGAATTCTAAACTGGTTACCCAAATCAATATACACAATAGTCTGAATATAAATACTGTAAATAATGATAACTCCTCATACCAGAAATTCAGACAAAAAACCTTCCTTCACTTGGTAAAAAAACAAAGCCTCCTTTAATGAAATATATTTACTGGGCCAGTTCATGGTGGTCATCTTCCATCTTGTTTTTATTTTCTGTGCAGATTAAACTGAAGAAATTTGGAAAACATTAAAAAATAAATTTTTTATTAATGAAGTGATTTTTAACATTTTTCTTTTCTTTTTATTTAGAATTTTTCAAAATATTTCCTGAATTTCTCAATGAAACTTTTCTTAATTACGCATTCTTTTCACAAACAATAAGTGCTCGAGGACGTCAGGAAAGGTGAGTTTATCATATTAGATTTTACATTTTGTTATAATAAGATATTTTCCTAGTCTAAGGAAATGGTTATTGTATGTCTATAGTAACATATGTTTCAGGCAAAAAGCTTTGCTGTGCTTTTTTTCTCTTAAATAAATTCTCCTGTGTCATTGAGTACATATTAATGTTTCCATGTGAAATTGTGTTGTTTGTCAGCCGATGTGACAGCTGAGTTGTCTCCTCTTGGGAATACATTGATGATTAAAAAGAAATGTTGTCTAGTGAAGATAAATTTCAACTTTTGGGGGAAATTATCAAGTCACACAGTTTAGAGAAGAAAAAGAAAGATAATGATGACAGAATGAAAAAAAAAAGATTTTATTGTTTGAGCTATCAATTATTTATTTATCATTCTGATATGTAAATCATTTGATTACATTTTGTCTTAAGAAAAAGTTTCTTAGACATTTGAAATATTTTAAGTTTGTTATTTCTTTGAGTGTAGCAGGAAATCATCACCAGTAGCAAAATGCTTCAACTGTACGTTTTCTTTTTTTTTTGGTTAGATGTTACTTATTTAATGCTTCTGTTCATGTGATTCTTTAGTTGAGTAAAGGTGTCCTATTTTTTTTTCTTCTATTGTTGTGCAACTTTGTATTATGATTCTACAAATTTATCTAGCATTAAAAAAAAATAAACATAACATTCATAAGGACTGATAAAGATTTGACCAGCTGAAATAGCCATAAAAAAATTTTTTAAAAATAACTCAACTTGCCACAGACAACACTCAGAAAAATCTGTGAAAATTCACAGGTGTTCCTTGATCAAAATTATTTATAAATGCCAAATATTAGATCTGAATGTTTTAATAGTTTTAAATTCAGAGCATCTTGAAAATTCAATTAATTTTTTGTGTTTTTCTAAATAAGACTTTCAAAAAACTTGTGACATTTATAACTTAAAGGATTTTGCATGTATAGATTTGAGACAGAATTCCAATAGTTAATATTTACTGTAGATTACAAAAATATAAACGGCTTAGGTGTGTCTTATCTACTTTTATTTTTATAAGGACCTGAAGATGGCCAAAATGCATAATTGCTCAAAACATCTCCCTGTAATATTTTGAAGTTGAGATTACTAGATAGTAAGTTTACCCAATGACATAGACTATCAGTTGTACTTAACCTACACTCTCGTGCAAATTAATTTAAACAAAATGAATAATTCTATTATTATTTACTTTTTTTTCATATTTTTCCAATGACCCAGTGAAATGTTAGTACTTTGTATGTCCATTCCACTAAGTCATTCCTTGCAGACTGACCACAGATTCTTGATTGGATTTATATTAGGAGAGTTTCAGGGACAGTCTAGTACTTTGATTTGCTCACTGATAAGGATTGCCGGTATGTTCTTGAAGCAATACAATTTTCATATGTTTCCTTGGAGTAATGTCCACCACAGACAATGGCCGTATGACAACTAATCAACAGTCAAGACTATAGTGTTTGGGTGTGATAAAAATCATGATGCAATATTTTTTAAGGCCAAACAAATTTCATCATACACCTTGAAAATAGATTCATATTACTGCACACTACTGCAAATGAGCTAATATGAGGTGAAAGAAAGGAAACTAAAGCAGTTGTTTCATTTAATTTGCACAAGGGTGTAAGTTTATAATACTAAATATAATACTAAATATTAAATGGAAGTATTATGTGTTTGTGGGGAGAGGCTATATGCGATAAAATGTTATTTATAAAAAAAATTGTGAACATCTTTTTAAAAAAATTTTATAGTTGAGTAAAACTTGATTCTTTCAAGATAAAAACAAATTTTAATAATTTTTTTTTCTGATGTCTAGAAATCTTTTTCTTTTTTTTATGAGAGAAATGACTTTAAAAAATTCTACCAGAAGTTGTTTTTTTTGTTTGTTGGTTTTTCTTTGTCTTTTTTTTTTTTTTTCTAAGTATCAAATGATTCTAGTCCAGTCTAATTTTTTTTTTTTTTTCAGTAGTATGAAAAACAATGAAAATTTAGTTTTCTTCTTAATGTTTATGTCTTTTCTTTACAGGAAATTCTCTTCATATCAGAAAGACAAAATTGCTATTTATGTAATTGTCCTTGCATTGATAGTGGATGATTTTAAAACTCCATGTTTTACAATCATGAAAGATTTAAGGATGGGACGTATAAAGTAAGTTGAATTTATTTGCTAAAAATGTATGTTTTGTCTTTACAAACCATCGGACAATACTTTTACACTTGTTGTTTGAAATATCTTTTTTTGTCTTAAAATGATTTCTCAGGAATTGGATGTGCTTTGGATGGTGGGCCTTAATCAGCATCTGTCAATCTTGAATCCTAAGGAATTTGTACTTCAAATTCATAAATATGAGAAGATATTTTTTTTTTTTAAGCTGAGAAACTAAAAAAGAAATTTGCAACCGATATACAAATTCATCCATACTTTACTTTTTCATTTGTTGTGAGCATTGAACTGATAAATTCAAAATTTATTGCATTCTACCAATATGTTTGGTACAGATTATATATGCATACTCTCCTGTACGGTGCAGTAATGGATAGTGGCTCGGACTGAGGAATCAAAGAGCAGAGTTTGAATTCCTATTGAATCCATTACATTTACTTATGTGCTAATACTCTTGGGAAAGTTATGAATCTATTTCTTCTTTCCGCTATAGAGAAATAGCAGGACAGACTGGGTTCTACAGCCTTCGGTGGGGCAACTGGTCTAGGAGGAGAACTCTGGATTCAAAACCGACCTAGGTAGGGTTGGGTTCCATCAGGCTATCTTGCCCAAGAAACACCACTTTTACTTCAGCTGCAGTATGCACGGTGGCCCTACGACCCCACAGGTTACCGGGGGGTTATATATGCATGTTTTGATAGGCTTCATCAAGATACAACTAAAAAGCATGTTTACTTTAAAAAAACGAGATTGAAATTTAAGAGGATTAATTTAGATTAATTTTACAGGACTTCATACCAAGTAAATGTAGAATTGCTTGTGTAAATAACGAATATGCTAAAAAAAATTGTATAAAATGTGTCATAGCTGCAAGGTCAGATGTCACTATCTTGAAATGGTATTAAAATTTAAATTTGAACCTTTGCATTTACTGCCTTTAAGAAAAGACATGAATCTAAAAATTTACACAATTGTACAAGTTTAAAAGATAGGTGAGAGGGGGTGAATGTTCAAAGACAGAACTGAGAAATGAAATCTACAATAATGGTGACATACTGGAAGACCTAAGCAGATCTATTTTGATAGTACTGCTTAAGAAACCAAGTGCAAACGAATGCGAACTCCACTGGAAAATCAACCTAATGAGCCATATAACAAGACTCTTAATCTGAATTCTGATGAATAGTACGTGCAGCAGAATCTGGCCTGAGATAAGACAAGAACAGTGTGGGTTCTCATCAAAGACACCTGGACAAGAAACGCAACATTTATGTTCATGTTTCTTCTGGCTGGTTTATTTCAATCTCCAAGAAGCTGAGAAAAGCCCTACCCTGCAATTTAGTTTTTCATGCCTACCAATAAAAATCGTTCATTGATCTGAGAAACAGAACTTTCTTTAATATTTGTGATTGATTTTTCTTTGTAATGTTTTTAATCCCCAATGACAAAACCTCGGCTACACTTAATAATTGTTCATATCTAGCTGAAAGAGCTTAAGATAGACTTTTTTTAAAAAAATTCTTGGACATTGTAACCTGAGAATGGTTGGAGAATGCACTGACTGAATCATCTTTTGATTGAAGGAAAAACTGCAAATAATAATTAAAATAAGTTAAGTCTTCCTCGGCTTACCAAGGATAATTTTTTTTTTTTTTTTTACTTTGCGGCATAACAAAAAAAATATTGAATTGTTATTTATTTATTTATAGCTGTTTCAGCTGGTCACATCTCTATCCTTCTTCAGGTGCATACTCTGTTTAGTAATCTACATTACTTTTCATCCACTCTTGATTCATACAAAGATTTGCTTGGCATCTATTTATATTTTTAATGTGATACAAATTTCTTGTAAGAAATGTAAAAATTTTGAAAAGGTTTTTAATGTAATTATCTAATTGGATATTTAAGGGGAAAAAAAAAAGTGTGAATTTTTTTTTTTTTTACTTTCAGTTTTGTCATCATTGAATGTTGTTTAAGATCAACTTCCAGCTAATTCAAAAAATAAAAATTGAAATGAATGTCCTGCAAGAATTAATCTGTTGATTATCAATAAATAGAGAAATATTTAAATATGCTTTTATTTTTTCATCTAGGGTGTCCAAATTGTTTGGTTATGTTGGCTGCAAGATAACAGGAAAATTGACAGGAGAAAATAAAACTTGTGCAGAATTAACTGTACCTGTTCAGCTGAAGGTTGTTGTCAGAAAAAGATCAAGAAATACTTAAAATAAAATTTTATTTTTTAACAAAAAGATGTTATTTTGTGGTTTCACTTACAGATTAAACCCAGGTAGCAATCATTCTATTTTCTTTATTAGTTCACATTACCCAGCCCAGGGATTGAACTCACAATTATTATGTTACCAAATCCATGAACCAAGGTTTTAATCCACTAGGCTATTGTGCCGTGGTTACCTGGATTGACGAACATCAGCTTGAGAGCCCAATAGCTGAAATGATAAGAAACACTCCTTGTCCAATTAAATAATGTAATTTAGAGACTTTATGAATATGTTTCCCTAGTTTTTCAGGGAGAGAGGTTGGTGGGCTGGTTGATATGCATTTAACAGACATTTTAGAAAAGTTCTTGCTCTGATAGGTCCTATAGATCTTGTGCTAAAGCTATTTTAAGCAGATATTGTAATGTAGTTTCTATCCTCCCTTTTTATTCCTCTGATTACAGAGATTCACTGGGAAGTCCCAGTGGTCTTGGACAGATAGTGATATAGCCCTCTGCTTCCTCTATTATTGTTGGCAGCACACGCTCACATCAAGATTGTCATCCTCCCTTTTTATTCCCTTTCTTCCCTCTGATGGTGGTGACAGAGATTCACTGGGAAGTCCCAGCTTACTCCTGAAAGGTCTTGGACAGATAGTGATATAGCCCTCTGCTTCCTCTATTATTGTGCATGTCTATACTTACAGATACACAAATTATTTTTAAGGCTGGATTAAGTTATAAAATTTTTATTTATAATGTATGTATTGACCTTTCCTGAAAGATCTATTTGTTTAAAATTGATGGTTAAAAGAAAATCAGTATCTGTCTATATTTCTGAGATGTGGTATTATGTACACTATTTACATTATTTGGACTATTGTCCTCGTCGCCATATTTATTACAACGTTTTGGCCGTTGTATGCTCCGGCCATCTTCAGGTGGTTGGAATGTTGAACTGAACCCCTTTATTTCAGGGTAGACTGTTCTATTTCCACATGCCAAACATGGATGTCAGTCATCAATTATCTCCTGTTAATTCCCCTCTCCAAGTTCTCCACTGCCTTAACCAGGTATTTGAACACACACTGTTTGGGTTCTGTCACTGGATCTAACTAACGCCTTTATCCCCTGTGCCATGTGTCCTTGAGGACAACTGTTATCCCAATATTTCGTTTGTTGGGCCCTCTGGCCTCCATCAGGTGTATGTTGATCTGGGTAACCTACAGAGAATTCCAAATTGGACCCTTTATTTTATCTATGAGGGTAGATGTCTTTGTTCCACTGTCCAGGTCTAGAGATGTCTTGTCTCGTTCCTCTTTTTAGTACTGCTCAATTATTGCTCACCCAGTTTCCACGGAGTCCAAGTACACACTGGCCCTGGGATTGAACTCAGAATTACTTTGTTGCCAAATTATCAAACCAACAATTTTATCCACTTGGCTATTGTCCTCTAGGTTACCTGTATCAACATCTGAAGAAGGCAAGAGAAGACACAATGTTAAGAACATTGATATGACAATGACAAAAATGAGGACAATAATTCTCATTTAAATAGTGTAAATAACTCAGAAAGTGTTCTTATTTGTCCTTAAACTCAGATATTTCAGCCATCAATGTTTTATCAAATGTTTCTTTTGAAATATTGATGTCAGAACTTTTTGATGTTTATTGGAATTTGTCAAAAGTAAAGGAAAATAAAACCTATTCAATCAGAACATTACAATCCAGCAAATTTTTTAAGTATTTTATTATGGGTGACACAAAAAAGTGTTTTTTTTTTTTTTTTTTTTTTATAAAGAAAAGTGTTTATCTTTTGTTTTCACAAAACAACTGCTTCATTAGCAATGAGCAAAAGCTGTAAGCTTGAAAAACATTTGTTTTTGAATAAAGTTTCTGATCGTCTCTTCCTAATAAATATGAAGAATTGCTATGCCAGCAAGCAACTGATGAGAAGCAGTTTTGCAGAATTTAATTTCTAGATGAGAACATCACAGCTGTAAACAGAAACACTGCTAAGCACCAGTTAGAATCTTGCACAGGTACATAAAAATTGCAATTTGAATTCTTTTTTTGGCATGGTTTTTAATCAAGAAGACCCACCTTAAATAATTTTTGTACCTGAATTTTCTTTTTTTTTCTTAAGAAAAAAAATGCTTTGAAAGACTGCAATTTAAAAATAGCAATAGATCGACAATTTCATTTCTACGTTGAACTAGAAACTGAAAAAGAAAAACTAATCTTTGGCTAAAGTTCGATTCTGCTGCTTGTGGAGTCAATAAGGATACGTTTCTCAGTGGAAGCAAATCCGGTGATCATGTATGCCACATATAAAGAGCATACAAGCAAAACTAGAATGACCAGCGTGAAAACTTTTAACCCGACGCTGTTACAAAAATCCATGAAAATGGTCTGGCCATAATAATTCCTTTCAGAAGTGTTGGCGACCACGACATTATCACAATCCTCTAATTCTGCTAATTTTCTCAGATGGTGTAAAACTTCAAAGGACACTCCTCGTCTTTCGGCCATCTGGACTGGAGTTTTGCGCATCTTATTCCTACAAAAGATAACATTAGGTTTCATTCAATAAGAGGAAAAAAAGAAAGAAAAGGAAACTTGTTTCATATTTAGTGAGAGAAGTAAAAGAAGAGGACATTGTGCACTGAAAAAAAAAACAAAAACATCCGTGTCATGGTAGGGGATAAGAATCTTCCAAAATTTTCAGAGATGACTTTTGTTTAAAGTCTTTTGCCACTACATTTATTTCATGTTACTGCATTTGGGAAATAAAAAAAAAAATCACCATTCCCAAGCTTTGTTTTAAATGACAAGGGAGACAAGTCTCTTTTGAAGGCAACCAATTTGGGAGAAAGCTAACTGAATTCAAAACACCTGCCAATACAGAGCATGTGACAAGGTAAGGTTTTGATTTCCTCTGTTTAACAGGCTGATGACAGCCTCTTCCCGTAGGGGATTAAAAAGACTGATATAAATAAAGTTTAGTGTCATCTGGTAAATATGATTTTATATTTTAAAGACATTGAGCACCAAGATTGAAACAAATTTTATTAATGGAGATTACTTTCTCTTAATATAAAGAGTCTTCAAGATTTGTAATTGACAATACAATGGTGTTGAAATTCGTGAACTGATTCTTATTCACTCAAAAAGATGAAATTCTTTACCATAACATCGGATCTCTCAAAAGAGATTTCATGGCAATATTAAAAAAAAAAAAGAGGGAAATAATGTATATTAACAGAGCTTCTAATCATCATATTTTTTTAAGTATATTCCAGTATCTATTGTAACAGATTGCCAACCAATTCATTTTAGAGATATTTTTAATAAACACAAAACATTAGGAAGTAACATTGAGAAAATATTGTTACTCTGTCAATTTTAAAATTTGATAACAAGTGGATAAAGAAAAATAATAGAAAATGAAACTATTTGGTTTACCTCCTTTTGTAGCATGAATTCCCATTGGTAATTGTTACAAGTAAGACCTTTTTCTCTTTGCCATTTTCACACTGCTTTTATAAAGGTCTTATAGTTTCTCTTTATGTGACAAGTAAAGTTTTGTATATAATTTTGAGAACAAAGCATGTTTGTTATTCTTTCATCAATTCTGTTATGTCCATGTATTAAGGTTTTATATCACATGGATATAACAATGCCCATAATAGGGGAAATCTTTTCTTGGGTAGCACACCCATTAATTAGTAAACCTGATATGATATTAAGGGAATATTTCTTTCTCACTAAGCACCCCAATTAATTTAATACACACTGTTTAATAAATCAAAATGGGGCATTTGTTTCAAATATTGATAGTAATGTTTGAAGCAATATGAATGGTGGATTAAAATAAATTCAGTGACTCTTTTCTTTAGAAATTTTCTCAAAAAAATAAAACAAAAATAACAGAAGAATGTCCAAGATTTTAGGGGAGTTTCTTCTGGTAGTTGTTTTATTTAAGATGGAGATTTGTAAAAGAACTTAGCAAAATTAAGCCAAAGTGTTAAGATATGAGTTGAGCAGCAGTTGTGTGTGTATGTGTTCTAGTCCTGCAAAAAAAAGCAAACATATATTCGAATTCTAAGCCAAATGTTATAATTAAAAAGAGCTTTTGAAATTTGTGATAAATAAGATTTTATTACAAGTGTATATTTTAAATATTTTTTACTTATTCTTTTGTGACGGTTGCACACCTGGCCCAGGGTCGGATCCCTTGGTTACGGCGCCAACTGTGACGTCGCTCCTCCTGGTCGCTCCTCCTGGTTCCAAGCGTGCCGCTCCAACCCCTTGGTTGGATGATCACCAGCCTCGCCTTTCCCAACTCGCTTCTAATACCTGGTTACTGAAGCAACTGTACTGATCTCCGGTCTGTCTACCCACGTTGTGTTTAGATCTTAGACAGACGGGACCAGCAGGGATTGGGGCTGATACAAGTTGAGTCCGACGGGGGTGGCAAAACACAAGTAAAAGAAAAAAATAAACTCACGAGACAAAAAGATTGCTGATGAAAAAAAAGGGTAACAACCTGTTATATCTTAATGTCCGTTACATAAAAACAAAATTGTTCTCAATTCCCGACCCGCTCTGTGGACTATGGCACCAAGCTTCTATCACACAACCTAAAGATTTCAATTGCCTACTCTTTAGAATTGTGTATGTCGGAGTGGGTTTGGTTCGACACTGGGGCTAATTTCTATCGATCATTCGTGAGTTGATTCTTCTCTTCGACTTGAGTTGTATTTCTTCTTCTTCGTCGACTTAGGCTGGAAGTTCTCTTGTCTTCGACTTGGAAGGATTTCTTGTCTTCGACTTGGCTGGAAGCTTTCGAGTAATCTTCTTCTTCGCCTGCTCAGCCGGAAGTTCTGTCTTCGACTCTCTGTCGTCCTCTGTCGTGATCTCTTCGCTGCCGTCTGGGCTGAACTCATGTCTTCGACTTGGGCTGGAAGGATTTCTTGTCTGAGGATTCTTTTTTACCTGCAAAGGGGGGCGAGTGAATCGGGCCTGATGCCCGCGTTCAGGCTCTATCCCTGCCCGCGTCCAGCTGCAACTCCACTCCAACTGATTTCTGTCGACTGGGGTCCTGCTTTTATTGGCCCCGCAACAAACTGGGGTGGGTCTGTCGGCGTCAGGGTTTTCTCGATAACTCCAAAAGTCGCATTATTTTTGATTTCCATTATCGCTATTGTTTTCACCCCTACTTCCTCACAGTGCCCTTTGTGGGAGGTGCACACCATCTCTCTTAGTCTCTCGTATGTCAGGTGACCGTTTTTTCACCAATGGTTCCTGATCGGGCATTTCTTTCTCTTCTTTTCTGCAGATCACGTGACCGTTTCCGACCAATTGTTATTGATCGAGCATCCTTTCTCCTCCTTTCGGGCGGGTTACATCGTTTTGTTTTTAAAAACAAAATCCAATTTTGCCTTTTCTGCACGTATTTAAAAATGACAATCTTGGCTTTCTCTCACCTGGGCTCTGTCAAACAGCCCGCCGCTAATTAGATGTGACTTCAGGAAAGAATATTGTCGCCATCTGTGATCTGAGACAATCGTTTTTTTTTCACCTCTTGTTTTTTGACAGACCCGCAGTCAGAAAATCTTAATTTATCTGAATTGAAAACATCTTTCACTACCGTCAATGTGGGGTTCTAATTTTTTAACAGGTCAGAATCTGTATACCGCTCCACGGTCACTCCCCAAACCCAAAAGACACTTTTTCTCTGATTAAGATTTCATTTTCATTGTTCCCAAAATTTCTCTTTATCCAAATTGATAAGATGTCTTTTCACGCAAAAGTAGGCTAGATGCTTTGACCGATATCTGGTTTTCATCAAAGCTGCCCCTTTTGATATCATGTCTTTTCCCTTTCTTCTTTTTTTTTTATTTCTAATTCTATTCTTCCAATTGTCTTTAAAAAATTCGGTCAACATGCTAGCTAAGATATCTTTCTGACTCATGTTTTTGTTAATGACCGCTTTTTTGTATTTCTCGACCTCTCTCTTTTTGCTTTTCTCTTTTCCTCTCTTTCCCTTCCTTCTTCTTTCCTTAGGATCGTCTAAGTACAATCTTAGTGAATTATTTTCAACTCAATTATTTTCCGTTTTAAAAAAAATCAACAACCTGTTTAGTAAACCGAGTAAAAAAAAATTAAATCATATTTCTATGAATATTTCTAATAATGCAAGGTGCCACACTTTTACTGTTTTATATCTGTATTTACTTAGATTTTGTCTTTCTTTCACAGAGGGACACAAAGTCAGTCCAGATTTTACATTCAATTTACACGTTTTAAAAACTAAACATCTGTGGTCATAACTTTTTTAGTTTACAGTACACTTATTATATGTAGTAACCCGAATTCTTAGTACTGTTCAAATTGATTCCACTTTAAGAATTACTGTTCAAAGATGGACAATTTATGGAAGAAATGAATGTCATATTTGGAAAAAAAAAATCAATTTTTACTGGAATGCTGAAAATGCACAGCTGACTTTAATAAGAAAAACATCACCTTCATCATGTTATATTGTTAAAGAAAATAATGAATAAGATTTAAAACTTGAAATGAAATCATGAAAGAAAATATTTATTAAATGAGATGATATTTTCAGTATGAGGCCACTTTTTTTTTTTTTTTTTGCAAAATTGGAAATAAAAAGAAAAAGGGTACTGACTGATTGGTTTTACAATTAAAGTAGGCAGTGCCCGTTAAACAAAACAAAATAAAGGCGGCTTGTTGCCACCTTTCTAGATTGACAGGAGATTCAAGCTTTTTGGTTGGCTTTGATCTTTATTCTTTACGAATTATTTTTTTGCTTAATGATTTTAAATCAGGGTCACTAGTATTTGTTAATTTATTTGTAGTTTAATGTTTCTTGGGATTAAAAAAAGTGGGGCCTGGTTTAAATTCTCATAATCGAAATTTACGTTTAAAAATTTAATCCATAATAATTTGTTATTTAAAATTTAGAAAAGCTTTGGTTGGATTCATGGCATTGAACAAAAAAAAAAAAAAAACAAAATAACGTAAAAAAAAATTGCCTCTTAAAATCCAAAGTAAAAATGACTAAAAAATAAAAATAAATGTAAAATATTGAATGAATTATTTTTTTTTTTTTTTTTTTTTACTTATTGTTTTGGATTTGGATTAATAGATTTTTTAAATGTTCAGTTTTTGTCTAATCTGAATAAAAATTAATGAAAAATATGAATTTTATTTTTGGTCGAAGGAAAAAAAAGAAAAAAATTGTTTATTATTAAAAATAAAAAGAAACAAAGTGAATGAAAAAGGTAATTAAATATTTTTTTTTTTTTTTTTTTTTTTTTACGGACAGACTTATTTTTTAAAAACAAAAGTAATTGATCTCTTTATCGATTCAATACAGGATTAAAAAATAGTGATCGAATATCGATTATTTAATTAAATTTAGATTATTAATTCTATTTTTAATTTTAATTATCATTTTTTTATCATGTTTTCCATATTTTTCTATTGTCTTCGGGAAATAATTTATTTTTTAATTAATATTTACTGAACTTTCGTGTCTGCTTTTTTTGCAAAAGGAAAATTAATTTAAGTATGAAAAAAATATAATTCCGCTAAAAAAAAAAAAATGAAGAATGACGCACCTGACTTGGAAAGAAGCTCCGTATTTGACCAAAAGGTCAATACTTTCGACATGTCCACACCAGTGGAGCGGAGTATTACCATTTCGGTCAGTTATTGTGGGGTCTGCTCCTCCAATGGTCAATAAAATATCAATTATTTCTGAAAATCCTCGGATTGCTGCAATATGAAGAACCGTCTTCCCCGAAGAACGACTTTGTTCATTTACATCATAAATATTTAATGCAAGTAATTGTTTTACTCGGTCTGAATTTCCTTCCAGAACAGCCTCTTTCAAGGCGTGGCCTCGTTCCATTAGGTCAATTAAATCAGAACCCACCATAAGTTTAATTTTAATCTTTTACCCATGGACGGAATCAGCGCCGTTTCTTCTTCTTCGCTCCCGTACCACTTGGATTTTGGTAAACAAAGTAAATCGCAGCCTCGTTTTCGATTCACTTTGGCGATTAATTTCGCCTGACAATATAAAATCAATAAAAATGGTTGTTGCTCAAATTCTTCTAAAATTATTGAATAAACATTATGAAAAAAAAGTAAAAACCGTTTCCTTTTATCTTTCCATTCAGTTAATTGAATTTAATCAGATGATGTTCGTATATTTTGATATTTTAATTCGGGAGACTAAAAAAAATATTATCAGCAGTATTTTTCTCACACTACTTACTACTACTAAGTGAGTACATACTAATAAATTTAAAAAATGCATTGAGTTGAGACCGAGGGGAATTATGCGATTTTTGTTCTCCACTCAAAACAATTATTGGGCACAAAGTTTAAGAATTGAAATGTACCTTTATTCAACCAGATGAAAAATGACTTATACTGCAATATTTTCCTTCCTGTAGTTTTTTTTTGAGAAATGACGATCATGTTTTAATTCAATTTAATATGAGAAAGAAAAATATTATTAAAAAAACACTTTTATTCGAACTAAACTTAAACTCTATTGTATTTAAAAAAAACAAAAAAAAATTTATTTTAAGATACGTTTATGAAATAATTTTTTTTATATTCATTTTTTTAACTAATTAATGCTTACCATAAAATCCAGAATTATAAAAATCAAAATCTCAATAATTGTAGGTTTCTAGAAAGAAAAAAAAGAAGCAGTATTAATGATTTGTTTTATTAAAAATCCAGTCTTAATTATAGATTTATATACCTATAACCCTTTACTGCCCTTCATTAAATTTTGGGACAATAGACATTAATGATTTAAAATCTCATGGAATGCTCTGCAAATGACATTTTTCACTTGAATTTAAACAGGAGGACAATGCATAATAAAAGGCAGGTTAAAATGTTTGTTTTGATAGAATCTGTGTTACTGTTAATGTATGCCATTGTATGTTAATGCTGGCTTGATAATTTTCTTTGTTAGTTCTGAAAATCTTTGAACCCCACTAAAATAGAATATTATTTTGATTATTGTGCATCTTAATAAATCAAAGAGTCAAAACTGAAAGTACAAATCTTTGTTGATCAGTGGGTAACCAAAAAATCCAAATAATTTCTTACAAGATTAATGTTGTGTTTTTCTTGTTTCCACTTTGAAAATAAAATCAATAAAGAAGAATAAAAAAATTAGATGTGAAATGACTGACAAAATAGAGAAAGAAACAATATGTGTGTATGATAAATATAAATAACAAGTGTGTATTTTTTGTTTTGAAGTGATTAAAAATGACTTCTACTATCAGAATTAAATTTATAATGATAAAAATGAGAAGCACTTTTCTGTGAAGAAATGTTTAGCAAACAAGCTAAGCAAACCATTTCTACTGGAATAAGTTTGATCCTCAGTAGGTGTTCTTTTAGCTTGTAGAGAGAAATATATATATATAGAGAGAGAGTTGTCTCTAAACACAACAAAAACTTTGTGATGTGAACTGGCCCACACTTCTATAGTCATTTGTCTTGGGACATGACATTGATGTATGTTATCTTTCCATATTCTCTTTACTAGGAAAGCACATGACTCTTCTAAAAGTACCTCTGATCAGATTCTGAGTTTAGACATTCTGGTAATAATAAATATAATTTGGGAGGATAGCCTGTTAACTAAACAGTTCTCAGACTCAGCAGGATTTAGAAGGATTTTGGCAAACGCATTAATCTTCCTTGGGGTTGTGAGCAAGACAGGGTAATTTCAGTCATATTGAATTTACTAAATCTTACTAAGTTTATTTTAGGTTCAAATCCTCCCAATGCCTTCCCCATAAGAAGTTTTTGGTTAATAATCTTCCATACTTTTGTTCACATAGGATTTTTACTGCTTCACTTAAGATTTTTTAATTCTCAACATTTCAACTCATTAAACAACATTTTATGCATTATTATTTATGACTCAGTTACAATTTCTAATAATTTCATAACGATAAATGTGTAGTGAATCTAAGAAGGATGCGTGAATATTTCAGATTGTGATGCTGCAAGTAAAATATGCAATATCCACAAACATAATTTATAAGAAATGGCCAAATGGTAATGATATTCAATAACGACAAAACATACATGTTTGAAACAACAGATTAAATTTTATATACACAATTTACAATTTCTTTGTTTGTAATGATGTGCGCAAAGGTATAGAGAAAAAGTTCTTTGCTGTTCCAGAAATGTTCGATGTCTAAAAAGTTGTCTGCCTTTGATTGAATTGTTGAATTTAACTTAGACAAAAGATTTTTCTATGAAAGATATTAAGTTTGTTGCATGAATTTTTCCAATCTCTCATTCAGAAAGTTTGTTTCTTTGGCGTCAATTTTGACACATAATTCCCGTGTGTATCTTTGTGTGTGTGAGTCTCCAAATGCGACGAAAATTCATTGCTGTTTCTATTTATAATTTTTTAACAACAAAATTGGCTCTAGTGGCTTGGTAGTTTGTTGCAAAATTTTCTGAGTAATGTTTGGGTGAATGTTGTATTTTTTATTTTTTTAGCCAACAAGATTTCTCGAAACATTTAAATTAGGGATGAATTTGAGAAAGATTTCTTTTTATGTCAGTTGAGCCTATTTTTTGCACAAATTTTGACTGTTTTATTATGGAAATTTCTTGAAGCTTATTTTTATTTAACAACCAATGAAATTCAAGAAAATATTTGAAAATTGAAATGAGGGTTACTAAAAATGCATAAAAGCTAAAAAATTGCAAATTGATTTGTAATTTTTATCTTTCTCTATAAATTACAATTAAATTTTATTTCATCAGGAATGTTGTATTTTCATAATTTTTATTAAAAAGGGTTTTTTAGTTTGTCTGAAACTGATTTATTAATGTTTTGATATTGTGTCCTTTAAAATTTTAATCTGTCTAATTTTTTCACCAAATCTTTATCTGATTTTTGAAATTTTTCTTCAGAAACACTACAAGGCCTAGAATTAAAAAACAAAAAGATGCCTGTTACACAAAACTTTAATTTTTAAAAATCAAATTTGGTGGGTATTTTATTTAATGAGGGTATATGAGTGGATTTTCATGTAATATGACAATAATAAAAAATAGTGAAATCATATCTTTAAAAATGATACCTTTATCGGCAAATTATATGATGTTTTTTGGTAATCACCAATATTATGAACCATGAATGTAGAAATAAATTCTCCACCATCTTTTGATCAGCCTGGGTACTAAATAAAATGGTGGAACAGAATACAAGCCCCTGTATTTCTGGATATATGAAAATAAAAAGTGATATTAAAATCATGCAGATATCAGAACATGAAAAAAATCACATAAATTTTAATTCAAAATACTTCAAAGAGTTAAAGAAAAAACAAAAACCATATTTATTACGTTTCAGCCATTTTACGCTCAAGGACACATGGCACAGTGGATAAAGGCATTAGTTAGATCCAGTGACAGGACCCAAAGAGTGTGAGTTCAATACCCGGTTAAGGCAGTGGAGAACTTGCAGAGGGGAATTAACAGGAGATAACTGAGATCCATTAAACATGGCATGTGAAACTAGAACAGTCTAGCCCAGTGAGCAAAATAAAGGGTTCAGTTCGACATTCCAACCACCTGAAGAAGAGGGTAGCATACAATGGCTGAAACGTTGTAATAAATATGGTGACAAAGATGAGGACAATAGTCCGAATAATGTAAATAGTGTACATAATACCTCATCTCAGAAATATAGATGGATATTAATGTGTAAGTGAATGTAATGAACTTGAATGGAATTCAGACTTGGCCCTCTGATTTCTCACTCCAAGCTGCTATCCATTACTCCACCATGCTTCTACACAATTTGTATGACCATCAGGTAAAAAGAATAGTGGCTCCAATATCTTGTATGACATTTAATGGTTTTATAATTTTGATATCAATTTTCTCCAATAAATGTTTAGTTGAAAATGAATTTGTCCTCAGTTTTATGTGTACAACTTTTCCATTGCTACTAAAGCAATGAATATCTGGCCACTGTTTAATTATTAAAGTGTTGGCATTGTTGACTCGATTTTTAACTTGAATTTTTTTTCAATCATTCCTAGGAATTGATTTTTCCTATTTTATGGTAGACACTGGAAATTTTATTGTTTTATAATAGGGTAGAAAAATAGCCAATTTTTTATAATTTACTATTTTTTTATCTTACTATTTTTATGACCAGTAAAACCTCCTGACCATTTATCTAGCGGGATGAAAATTCGTGTTATCTCCCTTACATCTGATGGATAACCTCCCTTGAAAATTTTCTAAGGGAGACAATTTAAATTCGTTGTGATCGATCATTTTCGTCTTGTTTCACATTTCTTGAGAGATTTTAAATATATCATATATAATTTCAGAAGTCAGAGGTAGAACAATCTTTTTTTACGATACAAAATCATGCAAGACTTTTAAATGATTATATATAAAACAAATCAGATTCCTGTTAAAGGCTGGTGACATTTAAATATAAAATTACTTTAGTAGCTTTTAAATTTTTTAAATGCTTTGTTTTCTTAACTCTATGAACTTGAACACAGATATATGGATGAACGAAATTAAATTTTAGTTTATAATTTTTTAGACATTCAACAAATTGACCCTTAGCTTCATTATTGGAATCGGAAAAAAGAGCATTTGTTTGTACACACTTTAAAAACAAGCATCAAAATTAACTGATTTAAATTTAACTAAATCTATATTGAAACAAATATATTACTATTTTATAGTAGCGTGGGACTTAAAATTAACAGTTGATTTACCCATGCCAAGAAGATTAATGAAGGCTGATAATGACGAGGAAACCCTTGGATAATTTTAACAAAACAAAATAAGGAATTTATTAATGAATTTTACACGCTT